TTTTAAGTGCCACCTGAAAACGCACCTCTTTAAGGAAGCTTTTTATTAATTTTTATTAAAATTTTATCATGATAGTTGCTAGTATCTTAACATATGTTGTATGCTTTAATTTTATCATAGTATATCTTTAATAACTATTATTGAGATGTAATGCGCGCTTGATAATTTCATGGAAAGCGCGCAATATAAGAATTAAATTATTATTATGATGAATGACATAGGCATTGCCAAAAAGCAGCAACTTTACATAATCAAGAAAATGATAAATATAACTATTAGAGCAACATATTACGTCTTTTGTTGTAGAAATAGGAATTGGGACAACCCAGATTTGATGCAATTTTGATCTTTGTGTGTGTGTTGAATAAGCCAATCTCAAGCAGCATTTGTAAATTGCATATACGTAGTGAGATTTACAATTGTACATTTAAAAACACAAATAAAGTTTCCATTATTATTATTATTATTATTATTAGTAGTAGTAGTAGTAGTAGTATTATTATTATATTAAACAACATCGAATACAATGATAAAGGGATGAGGACTTGGAAAGTGTACAACGTTGGAACCGGAAAAGTTTTTGACTGGACGGACGTTGCTTTACTAGCTGGTATTCCAAAACTTGACAAGAAGCCAAATGATTGCACAAATACCTCTTCGTTTGTTCCTGTTAAAGCCCTAGTAACATCTAGACCCAAAGAAAGTTTGCAGTCTGCAGCTGGCAGTGCTTTCGTTGTTAGTCGCACTCAAACGTATCCTACTTCGAACAGTCAAACTAATGTGGATGAGAAAGATAATGACGATGATGACGAGCTTCAAAATGATGGTGCACGTGGTGATGATCATGGTAGCAGTTCTGACGACGATATTGATCAACGTTTACTCTATTGTCCAGAAGAAGGTTGTCTCAAGTCGTATTAGCGTTATTCCTAGCTTGAGAGGCATCTCGATGTCGGAAAACACAGTTACCGTCTTGAGCATCTAACACTTTATGACAGGTCCATGGTCATATACGCCTCAAAGCTCGAACAACGTGGCAGTAAGATCGTTAATATTGATTATCAAGACACATCGTCCTGTGTACACCAGGAAAATAACGCATCGTTTGTTCTCCCGATGGATTGGGCCCTAAAATCAACAGGGAAGAAAAAGTGTTTTACCGAAAACCAAAAACGGTACCTGATAGACGTATTTAAGAATGGCGATTTAACTGGGCAGAGAGCTGATTCACGCATTCTCGAAGTCGATGAGAACAGTAACAAATCCCGATGGTTCCCGCACGTTTAAAAAGGACGATTTTCTTTCATCTCAGAAAATTTCCAACTTCGAATTCTTCTCCCGTTTAGCGAAAGCCAAAAATCTTGATACTTTTGAAACACCAGAAGAAACAGAAGTAAATGATTTGCCTGCGGATAAGCACATCCGCGAACTATCAATTGAAGTCATGGACGCCATTGCTCTAAAGCATCCCATTATGCGCATCATATATAACATTTGTGAAATGGCCTCACAAAACATGCTTAAAAATTCTCGGTTGCGATGCTTGATAAAATCTGCAATTCATTCGATCTCGACACGACCCACATTAAAAAGAAGGTTAAAGATCCTTATGTCAAACTCCATCAGGAAATTGTTAAGGGCTGTGGATGCTCCATCTAAATAGGAATGCATTACGACAACTTTTTCTTTTCTCTTTCATCAAATCGTCCATTATTACCGTCCATTCTAGGCTCAGTTTTCAGCCGTCGGGATTTTGTACGCGCCCGCGATACTACGAACGAAGCCCAGTCCATTCTGGCGATCGCTCATTACATACCCCAGTTAATAAAACTGTATTTTAATTAGACTAAGTATAGAAAACAGCACCATGATATCCAGATAGAAATGTCATGGCTGGAATTCAAGCTCTGAAGATTTAAGGCCCAAAAGAAGGTAAATAGAAAGGGAGAAGATTGCGTAACCAGTCTAGCAACCTCAAGTGCAGCTATACTTCGGGATCATTAATCATGATCAGGTAATCCTGATATCGTTTAACGCCCTGGGCCCAGTTGTTCAAAGGCCGATTAGTGCTGACCCAGGATTAAATTTTAATCCAGGCTTCTATATTTCTCTGTTCAAAAGCCGTTTTGGGATAATTTTCCCAATTTTTTTTAGAGCAATCAATCATCAAATTGTAGGCAGACAAATGGAATTAAACTGAATTTTCTTTTAAAGCTTTCAGATGTAAAATTAATTTCCAGACTAATCCTGGGTTATCTTAACCCCCTTTTGAACACCCCAGCCCTGAAGAAGTTCTTTTTTCCCATTCATTTTACAACTGAATTCGATAGCATTTCTTGTTAAAAAGCAGTAGATAAAAAATTAATTGAAACTAAACAAAACAACCAGCGTAGACTTGTCACGGATCGACAAATATGTCTATTAATTTCTTTAAAATAAATGGCTACTGAGCAATGAAACAACTTCTATCGTATTGCAAGTCCTTTTAAAACGTTTTTATAGCATTTCAGTCTTCATTATTACCACTGAAGCTCAAAAACTGCAAATGATAAACAAAGTCGGTCTATTCTTTTATGTCGCCGACTTCGCCGAAGAGCGAAATTTCTGTGAGTTTAAAGTCCTCGTATGCATAGCAGCACAAAAACCCCAGAAAAACAGCCCTACAAACGGTAAGTTCATCACTTCTACTTCTTATATGTCAAATATTAAACTTTTATTTGACTTAGCACATATAAAAATATTTTTTTGAAGCTACCCTACTTTTCACACGGCACTTAAGTAAATAGATAGAAAAATCCGTATTTTATTTCGAATTGAAACAGCGATTCTACTTTTTTGTGAAAACATAGGGGAGACATTGTTCTTTAAGTGTGTGTAATAAGTAAGTCTTTCATTGCTTTTGCAAGTACAAACGAGGCCTCCAAAAATGGGCTAAATTCGCCCCTTGATATATGCAAATTATGCGTGAATTGAATTTTATCAATTTTCTCGGAATTTTTCAACAAACTACATTTATCTTGGTTTGTTTTTGCTATAGGCCTACCCAATACTAGAATATGAGGCAATTCGATTTTTTGACTGTTGCCGGTGAATGTTTGATTTTTCGTGACAACCTCTCTTAAGTACTGATGAGTGCCTGGAAGAACATAATTTATTCAAAGATTTATCAGGAAAAATGCACCTGCGTCAGAATTCAGTTTGTGTTTCATAACTGAAATATGAATGCCCATTAACTGACACATGATTATAAATTAAAAATTAAATCGTAGCATTCAAAGCTAACGATCCAAATTTCAACCTCTTTTTAGGATTGTGAGTTTCAATCAGGGCTCTTTTGAACATCAAAAATATAGGTTCCAGCTGGCGTTGGTGTGAAAAGGGGGCATTGTGTTTGATTAGAGATTCCTTGTTATATAATAAGCCGGAAAAGGTATTTTCAGTTGCTTTGAACGAGTGATCAATTGTGAACTAACCTTCAGATGTGCTTTCTCCCTTAAAAAATCGTAAAGGAAAAGTAACGAAATGTTCGTGGTGAAACCATTGTTCACCAAGTTGATAATGACCGGGTTAACCACCATTTTAGGTTTGGTTTCTGTCTGCGGTAATGGCCTTGTTACTGCCATCGTTGTTAGATTCAAATCGTTACGAACAGTTCCAAACATTCTCCTTTTCAACCACGCTCTGGTTGACTTGGTCAATGCCATTGTCAGTGTGCCGCTTTACACGACCTACACCGTCTTAGAGGCTAGTTGGTTCCGAGGGAAGACTTTGGCAATCATGACGAGTTTCTTCGATCCAGTTTACATTGCAATCAACCTCAGCTCGCTGCTGGCAATGATAATAAATATTTTTCTAGCCATTTCCTATGACCTAAGGTACAATGCCTGGAAAAGCAACAAGAAAGCCTTGCTGTGCGTTTTTCTGATTTGGTTCATTGGCATGGTTTTCGTAATTATCGTCTCCATTCCCCTTCTCGACATAGATCTTGGAAACGCTCATGTCACTGAATACAGAGCGGTAATCTACGAGCAAGGAAAATATTTTGTGGCATCCTTCATGGCATTCTTCATCATATCGGTTGCAATTCTTGGCTTCTTGACGGCTCGCGCAATAAAGTCGCAATGGAAAAAGGTATTGAAATGAGCAATCCCTGATCAATTTTCTTCACATTAAGTATACTAGAGTGAAAAAAGGTAAAGAGTTTGATAAAGATATATTTATAAAACTAAAAGTACACAGAGCCTCGTCCTAGCTGAATTGTTATGATCTTCGCGGTAGTGAGACCACCAGCTGGTCTACATTAGCGGGGAGGGTTCGGCAGGTCGGAGATCCACCCTTAAGAACAGATTTTTTAAATACTTGTCAGGCACCAAAACTCGTGCAATGACAGGATTGCACCCTTCTACTCAATATGACGTATTTAAGATCTACTTGACTTGAAACATTTGTATGCCTATTTATGTTCAAGTTTTTGTTTGTCTAAATCAAAGTTTGGATTCCTTCCCTACCCCCTGCATGCTCTGAAGCTTTTTGTTTTGGCTTCATGACCACTCTGTCCTCCTACCCACAATCCCTCCGCGTCGAAAAAATAGACAGTATGAGGACAGGCCAAGGGGAGAAATGGGTTGAGAGTGTGCGTCACGAAAATCGTAATTTAGTTTTTTTTCCCATTTTTGCAGCTAGCTGAGATGAACTTAAGCCCTCGTCAAGCCGAATTTCGTTTGAAACGCGACATTCGAGCTTGCAAAACCATTGCCATAACAATCGCTACCAACTTCTTCGCTCATGTTCCCGCCATCCTTTTCGCAGTGGTGGATTCAGAAGAAGGCTCAACGGCCGAGGTCTGGTTTGGATTCTTTGCAATCTACAGTCTCTATCTCAGTAGTGCAATGAACCCGATTATTTACTATTTACGAAACAGTCGACTGCAGTCCGCTCTCAGGCAGTTTCTGAAAGATCCCCTAGGATCTAGCGACTTTAGGGAGAACTCCGCAGTCAAAATCAACGCAAGACCTAGGCATAATGATGACGTCATAGTTAGAACAGAACACGAGAGAGTAGGGAACACTTATGCAATGGAACTCGATCTGCTTGAGGGCCAAACAAGACGAAACATTTCATATGATCAGGAAGGTGCAGAGATCGTTCTTTCAATCATAAGAATGTCGATAGAGGCTTGGACTCAAACGAATGGCAACGACACCGAACGCGGGGGCTGTAGAATGCCACGCCCAGAGGTCCCCTCAACGCTTACCGCATGCTGGGAAGAACAGGTAGAAAATGACGGGAAACAAGGAAACTTGGACAAGGAAAGAGGTACAAAAGATTCTATCAGGCGAAAGCGAGCTATCTTCTCCTGTGTGTCCTCACGTGAAACAAAAGTTCATCCACAAGATGAACGATTATGCACGATTATGGCATAATATAGCGTTTTTGCATCGTTTCTTACCATACACCTATTCTGAAGAACCTCTGTCGAACGGTCAACCTGTCTGAAGCGCTCACCCTACCATTCCCCGTGGGTGACCGCTTAATGCAGGTTCGACTGTATTACTACCCAGAGGATCATAGAAATTCACGTTGATTAGTTGAGAATCTTCACCCTACATGAGGAAAAACCATTCTGAAGCACTCATGAACAAAATTCTCCATTTTTTTCCTAAAGGAAACAGAATTTACTGAAATGCAATAATCTGGTAATTAATGATTAACCGAAGAGTTACGCTTCACAATTATTACTTTGACGATGATCTGCTTAATTTAGCATATATTCAATCATTAGAGCAAAGACGTTGTATAATTCATTGCAATACATTACATTCCCTTAAACTCAGCGAAAAATTATAGGATGATTTACTCAAAACTATTCACTGAACCTGTTTACCAAGAATAGTCTCCTAAGTACATGGAGATGGGTTGGAACTCAGAGAGAAACTGGAGAAAAGAGGGAGACTTCAGCTATTTGATAACCTGTATTTTATCGGTTAACACACCCTTGACCATGTCATGTGATTATTCTTCTGTCATGTGATTATTCACTGTATATGAATTAAGACACATAGTGAAATAGACGAGAAAGACAACAAATAAATATAATTATATTATACTCCAGTCAAGTTTTTTGTGTGTAAAGTAAAGTCTCCAGCGTTAGAAGAAAGATTACCGCATCACAAGCCTGTTCATCAAAACCCGAGCATCAACTTACGTTTTAGAGATGATGGGCGAAGAGAAAATTGCACCATGTTTTGCAAAGCCAACCGTTTCTTGCAGTTCGAAGGAATTGAGTAGAAAGCTTGAAATCATTAGACCTCGACTAAACAATGCTGTTCACTCTTTCGCAGTGAAACCTGCGAGTTTGTTTGTATCACAACTTTGACGGGTTCTCAGATTACAATATTGTCAAAATCAAATAACTGCGACAAAGTTACATGTAAAAATGAACGTCGCTCACTCAACCATTTACATTTTTATTTTCGGAAAGGCCACTAGTTCAAATCCTAGGATAAAAACCACGCGTCTTCGAAATAGGAGCGAATCTTTTAAATGAATAGCAAATAAACCATGGGGTAGTTAACTGAGGCCTCGCGCTGGGAAAGCACGGCGTTGCGGCGCGTCCTCCTGGGTGGCGGATTGGAGGGTACTCCATAACGGAGTCGTGGACCAATGTAGTCTCGGGCAAGGAAAACCCTGACAGAAAACCCTGGTCCTCCTACTCCTGGAAAAAATTATCAGTTACAGAAACTACGGGCGTCAATATGAATCAAGACTAGGGGGGAGCGGGGATCGCCGACACCGGTACCACGACGACGATGGGTCAAAGCCTTCGGGAAGCTCATCGTCCGACGAGATCCTTAGCAAGCCCCAGAACAACCCTCGCCATTGGACATTGGAACGTGAGGACACAAGAGGGAAGAAGGAAAAGAGGCGGACCGAAAACAACAAGGCGGCGAATGGTGGAAAAGGAGAGAAACGGCGCAGGCTGGAAAACATGGACTGCTGTACACCATGCAGCTGCAGACCGACCTCAGTGGTTGAGAGACGTCCAAGCCTTATGTGCCCCCTGGCACAGAGAGGATTTAAGGTTAAGGTCAGGTAAGTTAACTGAGGAGTGAAGGACAGAAGATCACTTAATTTGTTCCCTGGCTATTTAACAATTATTCCACGAGCGCGTGTTGGATATGAGATGATAGATAGCCAACGAGGCGCGTAGCGCCGAGTTGGCTATAATTATCTCATAT